ATGCAGAGACAATCCAAGGCAGACAACTGCTTGTTTAGAGTGATATCTGAATCCAAAGGCTGGATCATCAATAATAGATTAAGGTTTTCTTGCTTGCTGTAAATTAGATGTCGGATGGGTATTGTAATTTTGTTTTTTAATTATTTATCGTATTAGCAAGGCTGGCTGTTACAAAACACCAGTCAGAGTAAAAATGTAAAATACAAAGTGGGAAGAATTAATTTTAAAATCTGACACTAGAATAAAGCTGCAAAACCCTGTATCAGCTACACTGAAAATTAGATAGTAACATTCTGGTAGTTCTGTCAAAGTCAAATACAGAAGCAATTGTTAAGTGTTGATAGGCAGTGGATAGAAGGTGTAATCCACTGGGAAGGTTTTGATCCAAAATGAAACAGTTTTCTACCCCTGCTAGTCAGGCAGAAATCTAATTACTCTCTTTTGATCTCTATGGAGAGGTAAACCAAAGAGTTATAGGTTATGGACAGTTTTATTGATTTTTATCTCAGAAATCAACAAGTGCAGGCTTTACACTTTACACATACTTGCTTAGCTGGTGTTAGGATCAAATATTTCAAACTGGCTTTCCCTGCTACCAAGTCAATAAGCATTTTAGTTGTTTTGTTCAAGTTGTACTGCTGATGTTAATATTGCAGAACTTTTTTTTGCACTTAGAAACTTTGGGGGAAAATATAGCCAGGTTTATATTTGGGAGTTTTAAAGCAGAAGGCTGAACATTTGTCTTTCCATCCACTTGGTTTTCTTTTGCAAGACTGCATTGTTATATTATGGCTATAACTGGACAAGCATATGTATTTTTAGCTCTGCATGTAAGAAAAGGATCTTCATTGTAAAGGCAGCAGAACCAGAGTCTGAACAGGAAGGGTCTGCCAGTTTCTGGAGGTTTAGCATCCCTTCCATTGACAATGTAGAAAAGGATAGCTGCGATGCAGTTGGTAACAACACCTAAAACCATTTCTGGAGTGCTCCCAAGACATTTCTGAGGTAGTCCTGGAGTGCAAGGGAGGAAAAGGCTTTCTGTTTCTGGCGTTTACAGTGCATCTTTGAGGCAAACCAGATGGAAACTTCACTGCCTGTATACGAGTAGTGGAATATACTTTGGCCCTTTGTCCTGTCTCTCTGGGCTCTGGGTGCAGACATTCCCACAGATACCCACTCTCATCAACCCCAGCTTATGGAAATATTTAATCTTAAAAAAAACCCCAACCCTTCTTCTCCAAGCTACTTACCATAGTTCCTATGTAATTTTGCAGAATGGGTTCAGACATGGGCCAAAATGATCAATGGAGAGGGAAGTCCTTGTTTTTCATGCAGACCTTCTGTAGGCATTTTTGATTAAGTTTAAATCTATGGGGAAGATTTCACTGCGGGTCTTGCCTAAAACCTTGGTGTGCAATCATGTCCCCAATTCAGCAAACCCGAGTTGTGTCATCAAGCTAAAAGATGTCAAGATTCCGTGCCAGCTTTTTAAAGGTATAATTAGTTGGGGTCTATTGTTGTTAATTACACATTTTCATGCAATCTAATTGGTCTTCAAGAATGTGCACCAAGTCAGGGTCTGCTTGTTCATGCACACAAAAAAGCCAGTCATTCGCATTTAACTCCACTGTCAGAGCCACAGGCACAGACACGGAGCCTGGGATGAGTGTAGCTTCATGATTATTTTGATAGCTTCTCTTCTTCGTGTCCTGGGAGATAAGGCTGTTTCTCCCACAGCCGCATTTCTTCCTGAATGACTGACAACCCCTATAGAGGAGATCAACCCCTTTTTGTGCCCTTTCACTCACTCGGAGGTTATCAGCTAAAACTGCACTCAGCATTCAATCACATCTTTCCCCTGTGGCCGTAACTCCTGTTAACACAATTAACCTTCTGATGGGAACATAAAATGAATCTAGGGAGGGAAAAAGAGCAGAAATACATTCCCATGTTAAGGATTAAATGGCCATAGTGCTTATAGCAGTGTTTTTTCACCTCTTTCTCTTCCACAACATTGTGTGTAAGGGGCTATTAGCAGGAAGTTACCTGTCACAAAATTCTTCCTAGCAATCCCAGCAGTTCCTATTTTATCAGCAATTTAAGGTTGATGGTAAATATTACGTCACATAAAACTGTATTGCCAACCAAATGAAAATTTGTATTTGTTTGTGTTTTGGTTTGCTGACCCCCCCTCTCCAAAAAAAAATCTAAATCTGAAAGATAATGATTGATAGCCAGCATTTCCTTTTTTTTTTTTTTTTTTTTTTTTTTTTTCAGCAGGAGGGATAATAGGGACAAATTATATCTGTCTTCCTTATGGTTTCTTTTTATATGACAGTATTTTGAAATTATAAACAGATCCATTGTATGCTCATCTTTTGTTTTCATTTACTGGCTGTGTTTCTGTCCCTCTGGCTGTGCCCTAGTGTGGATCCACTCTAAACATGTTTTAGCCACAGTATTTTCGAGGGGTCTAAGTACACCCCCAACTCTCCCAAAGCTGAGACATGACTCTCTTTTCCGTGGGTGGCTCGTTGTCCTGAAGAGCCGGGGGGCTGGGACGGAGGCCAGCAATGTCCCCTTGGTCACCATGCACAGGCTGCAGCCTGTGACACCGAGGGTGCTGTGCAGTTCTGGTGCTGAATAAACCACTGCTCTGGCTCTGGCTCTCACGCTGGTTATCTTGAGTAAGATAATGCTCTACCCCATTTTCCTCTACAAAAATATCTATGGAGGATTTTCCCTCAATTTTAAGTGCGCCAAAGTCCTTGAGCAAAGAACTAGGCATGTATTTGATCTGCCGAGGTAAAGCACTTGGAGGACACCCCCTTGGGCCAGTTGACTCCCAGTGGTGAGGCTGAAGGTGAAATGGGGTTGGAGGTACTTGTTCTCTGACCGACTGAATCTACACTCACCCTGATCAGGAGAAGGGCTTGGAGGTGCTGGGCCTTTTGACTTTCGCAGGTCTTGACTGCTCTGAAGTGTTGTCCAGCAGCAGGTACTTGGCCTCTGCATGGTTTCAGTACTCCAGGCATTTGCAGGACTCCATGGTGAAACTTGTAACTGGACAAGGGATGGAAAATAAATACCACTTTTCTAGCAGAGGCACATCTCAAGCACAGACAGTGGTTCAACTGAGGCAGCAGTTAAGTGAGATGAGGACACTTTGTGCTTTTCTGTAAGATTACAATAATGCTGATTCTGACTCTAGCCCATTTTCCAGGTTTGCGTAAAATCAGTAAGTGTCCAAGTCTCACTGCCAAGGGTGTATCTACACTCTTCCTCTACTCATTGAATCAGCTTTATGCAATGCCTCTGGTGACAGACCTAGGGAACTTTGATCATCGTAGCATCAGGTATTTAGCATGCAAGTGCCAATTTTGTATTTTCAACATCCTTCACAGAAGTAGAGCTAATTGCTTTAACAGCAGCTGAAGCAGGCAGGGAAAGAGAACAAGCTGCTTTTTAATATCTATAATTCTTACAGGTTTTTGTATGCTGTGATGTAAGGAATAGGATTATAATGCACATGTTGATGCCTTAGATTTGGAAAAGTGTTGTGAGGTTGAAACTCTTATTGAAAATCCCACAGTTAATAATGCTGGAATGTGTTCCTACAAAATAAAAAAAAAAAAAAGTCTTTGCAGCTAGAAACAAGTGCCTTGTGCTGCTGAAGAAGATCCAAGGGAGCTCTGTGAATCTGCCAGTTTGCAGATGAAGCAGCTATTAGGCTTGTAAGAAAAGAACGAGGAAACAGAGTTGATGGAAAAAGGAAGATGCAAGGATATCAGCTGACAACCAAACATTGGGCTAATTTTCATTGTAGGGTTTTTTTCTTTATTTCATACCTCTTTTCTCTTTTCAGTTCAGATGTGTTAGTTATTCGCCTGTCCTTGTCCTGAGAATTGATTGTTGCATCCATGGGAGATTGCTGGCACGAAGAAAACACTTACAGTAATTAAAGTGAGGAAAGCTGATGTCAGGCTTGCTTCTCCCTTTCAAAGGAAGTAAAAACTTCACGAGAAAATTGTTTTGTTTCAAAGTAAACTTCATTCCAGTAGATGCAGTATCCATACTGAAACCATTGGAATACGGCTTGTTGTAGCTCTGTAGCAACAGAGTACAACTGTGGAGTTCTGCAGTGGAGATCACCCTTAAGGTAAGGGTGCAACAGAAGAACTGCATATAAAAAAGCCAATAAATGATGAGGCAAGGTTAAATAAGATTGCGTCCCTGGCTCACACCAGTATCCCTTGGCTCACTTTTCACAAGAGTTACCAGTTAGCCTTTGCCCTTCCCCATGCAAGTGCCTCCAACTCAAGCATCCTCTTACACGTTCTTGCTGTGGTACCTTTAGTGGACACAAAATCCACGTGTGTTTGGTGGGGTCGCAGGGAGGTGGCCATGAGGAGATGCAGCGTGTCGGGCAAGGGTCGCACCCAGGACACGGGTGCTGGTGGGCTGAGGGCAAAGTTGGTAACTCAGGTTTTCCCACTGGGGAGAGAGACATGGATATAAGTCAGATGGCTGTAAAAATGTGAATTCAGGACATACTAAGAAGCTCTCATCCTCCTGAACGACATGTGTACTGGGGTGTTATGTAAATCCTGAAAGGATACAGCTCCCAGCTCATCCCGTTTTTGAAAGGGATTAAGCCTCTGCGTGTACTGGTCACTCAGGGATTACAGCTCAGTGTCCAGAGAGGGATGCACCCAGGGTGATTTATGGTGCTTAAGGGCTTTATGCATTCACTCAACGCCTACAGCTGTTAGGATTTCTTTTTCTTGTTTTCTGGAGGTGGCAGGACATATACTATAAGTTTTGCCAGGTCCCACTGAAACGCAGAATGTCATGGGCTCTCTTTCTTTTCCTGGCTCCACACACAGATGTGCTACTGAAAAACATTTCATACAAAACGTTGTATCTGAGAGATAGCACTGTGTCTTTTCTGCTAAACCAGGTCAGCTTTACACAGAGCAGCTGCCACATACGTCCTTCTTCACTGCCCAAGACCCACAGCTGTACCCGCTGGATCTGTCACCCATCCTCTCCCAGAAGAACCTTGCTATATTTTACAGTCCACGGCACCTTGGATTACTCCTTCATATAAAATTTCAGTGTTGTGGTCCAGCCCCTGGGAATTACAGCGTCTGAGCTGGCTCTGCAGTACCAGGGTGATATGGTTATTAATCCTTCTGAGAGGGCTGGAGCAGTCAGTGTCTGGTGGAAGGGCTTGTGCATTACTACATAATACATCAAACCTCCGGTGTGGCAGCTCCTTCCAAAGAGCAGATAAATTTTCCACTGCCCTGTGTGCCTCTGCGCAGGGCTCTGCCATCCTGCATACTGGGGATCTGCGTACCAGCATCAGGGGACTCAACCAAGAGAGGGGCAGATTAGGTTTGATTATTCTGAAAAATGTGACCTGCTTAAGATGCCACTTAACACAACCGTGGGTTTTTGTAAAGGAGTCTTTTCATACATTTCTTGGAGAAAAAAAGGAAATAAACTGAAACAATTCTGTAATATAAATTATTCACTCTTCCTCATCTTCTTCTGGTGGAGGTGGCGGGACAATCTCCTGCACCAATGACTGTGGAAAAAGCCATACCTTCACCCCTTTTGATTATTCTTTGTTATTCTCCCACCACCACCTTGAGATAAACTCCTGTTATTACAACTCCAGAGAATAATTGAGGCTGTGTGGGTCTAGGCTGTCCACTGCTGTTTTACACTCTGCATTATCTAGTTTTGCTTATCTGAAGCTGAAGCTCAGAAAACAAAAAAGAAACCACGGGAAGATGCTAATAGGGTTGGATCTGCTGTTTCAAAACATCTGCTGTTTTCTGTTTTTATGTGTTTGTGCTTCCTACTCTTTTCCTTCTAGTAGGCAGCTCTTGATGAAAGAGAAGTAAAATCCATTGGTCTGCATTTCAGAAAGTAGTCTTTAAACTTCCAAACAGAGTAGACATCTTCACCTGTGTTTTCCATGCACAAAAACTGGGTGTGGAACAATATCACAGCAAAATTGGCGGTGTGTGCCTGGAGGCCCCTGTGAAAAAATGGATCCATTCAAAACTGTATGTCACCCTCAGTCCTAAATAACTGATTTATGTTCCAGGTGAATTTCTACAGCAATTTACAGTTCTTCTACTTTTTCAATTATCCATTTTCCCCCTATTGAGACCTTACCCATTTTCATTTACTTCTGCAAAGTCTTTTTTTCCTGCTCACAGTCCATTATACCTTCTCTGACTATTTCTTTGAAATTAAGTGCCTAGTTCTTTATCATTTCATCATTAATTACCGATGTCTTTTTGACCTCTGCTTTGTAAGCTACCGTGTCATATTTCTATTTCCTATCTTTTAGACTCAGTTTAGATATATTTTTTCTTTAATGACCTGCTCTGAATAGCTTTGTTCTTGTTTTTCAGTCAGTTCCCAGAATGGCCACACAGCCAAACCTTCGCTCTCCTCTCTTGTTTTTCATCTTGTCTCTATTATACCAATGGTCTAGTTAAAAATGTATTTTACAGCTCCCTGAGGTCAAGCCTCTCTTCTTTTTTATACTGACTATAATCTATATTTTTATACTGACTCTTCGTTTTTACGCTGACTGTAATCTATATAGGTATCTCGGTAACCTTTTGCTATAACCGTGGGCCAGCTAGCACATCTCTTTTGAGGGCCAAATGTAGCTGGGTGTTAACAGAAGTGGGTGCCACTGTAGGACTTGGTGTTTGGTTTAGGAGACAGGAATAACATGAACAGAAGCCACTCCATGAATGGTGGATTGGTGAAATGTTAGTATAAAGGGCTGAGAAACTTTTCCTGTAGAAAAAAATGTGATTTTTTTTGTCAAGCTCTTCAGTGAGGTGGGTGACATTTTGGCAGTTCAGGAAGATTCAAACCTGTCCTTAGATATTCAAATTATTTCTTGGTCTGGTTCCACATGTATAATTTCACTGTGCCTTACAGTGTAATTTTCACTTGCTTCTTTCTTCATAATCACTCCCAAAGTTTTTTATTTTTTAATTGAAAAAATTCAAACAGTTCATAAATTATTTTCCTGTCTTTGCCAAATGTCCCATTAGCGTCAGTGGAGTCTCATTTAGTGAGCGAGGTTAGACTCTACCATCGCCTGGGAGTGATGGTTAGGAAGGAAGGCCAGCTGTTTTTTTCAAAACCGTGAGAGCGGCTGGGCCTTCTCACTGAAATATATTTTATAAATGTGTAAAAGGAGACATGATAAATGCAGGCATTTGCTGTCATTTTGTTCTTTTAAATAAATAACTGAGTATAATGAGTCTCAGCCACAGAATGAACATAATGAACCTCCAAAAAAGATGTTGTCTGAGAGCAATATTTACCACTGAGGAAGGGATTGTTACAGAAACAAAAATTGTTTAGACGTTAGTGGGTGAGATAAGAATCTATTAAAGGAATTAAAAGCGAAGATGATTCATCACACATTTCTGCTTATTTGTAAGAGACACATGAAAGGCAGGGATTTCAAAACATTTGTATTAGAAAAACATCAATAACAAAGCCCCCTGATTTAATTTTTCAGTCTCTTGGGCTTCAAAAGAAGATGTGACTTTTCCAGCGAAAAACACACAGCACTGGAAATCAGCAAAGGCTTGGTTTGCTTTGCTGCATTTCATTTTTGTATCAGTCACCTATACGAGATATTTACACCATTTTCTTCTGTGCAAAAATCTAGAAACTGTTTCCGTTGCATTGAGAGTCAGATTTCTGAAACGTCTCAGAGGGGTGAAGTGCTTCCCTTGCTGCTGCTGCCGAGGCTGCTGCGGTGCGCTGAGGAAACGTGGTACTGGAGGGGTGGTACTGGTGAGGTTACATGGGTACTGGAGCAAGGTCTCACAGCACAACTATGGCAGAAAATTTGTCTTAAAGTGCTTTTCATAGCAGAATACAGATAATATCTCTAGTATAATATAATAATACTGGGTTTTTATGGGCATGTTTGCTATAGAGATGCAGGGATAGCAGAGAACACAGCCACAAAAGCAAGAAATAGAGAAAGAAGTGAAACCAAAAGAGAGTAAGTAAATAAACAAGCAAGCTGTTAGCCAGTGCTGTGACCCTGTGAGCTGTTGGAAGAAAGCAGGCGTTACAGTTTAGCAAATCCCAATTCTTTTTGTTGTACAGCCCGAGTTTTGCCGAACAGTATTATTTGAGATGTCTCCTGTGAGCCGAGCATCTACTAAACAGCCTTTGAAAACAAACTGGTTTGTACCAGCTCCTGCTAATTTGGACAGGGGGGTCAGTAAAACCCTGACGTGGCGGAAAGCAGCAATAATTTCCCCAGCGTGGGAGTGGTACTTCAAGGACCAAACACACTTTTGAGGCTGAGCAGCAGTAGGGGAAGACCAAGCTGGGGAGGAGAGGGAAGATCTTGATCTGGCTGTTCCCCTGGGTGAGCGGTGCCCCGGGGAGGGCCAGCGTCGGTGGGAAGAGCTGCAAGGCCGCCGAACCGCTGCGGCCCCGCTCCCGTCCTCAGCCCCTGACTCAGCAGAGCCCAGTGCTGTAGACATGGTGCCAGGTACAGCCCTACCGCTCGCTGGCTTGCAGGAGACGCGCAGCATGGCCGGGGAAATTAAGCTGTGCTGAGGTTCGGGGCTGCAAGGTCAGCATCAAACTCCTGCCAGGCTTCTCCAGTCTGCCCATGGGGGGTCCTGGCCCCGTGCTCATTCCCCAGAGGTGAGAAGGGTATTTGAGAGATGGGGAGAAGGGATGAAAGGGGCAAGGAGGCCCTGAGGTCTCACATCGTCCCTTGAAAAGCGCTCTCAGATCTAGAAAGGTCAGTGGAAAGTTAAGGGAGCTACATCTGCACGTGGAGTCCTCCTCCCCGTCCCCCAAAACACCACCGTCCCCTGTATGGGCTGAGTACAGCAGGCACTGAAACTCAAGCTGGCTTCTGGGGGCATTGCTTATTTTGGAAAATGCGGTTCTTTTCTGAAGCGCAGCTTTATGGGGAAAAAAAATAAAAAAGGAAGAGAATCCCTATTTTGAGAATTAAGAAAAACTTTATCAGACTTGTTTATTTTAATGGTAAATTTTCTCTTTACCCCATACCATTTAAAAATGCCGAGCTGCATTTTTGCTCCCACTTTAACAGTGCTGTGAGCCTTGTAGACATAAACCAGGCACAGGACTTTCCAATCCAATAGCCAACCATTTTGCAGATTCACAACCGTCTAAAGAAAAAATGACTTTATGCTAAATAGGAATACGCCATAGGAGTCACTGCCTTGTTTGCTACAATGACCAAAGCTTATTTTAGGTCCTAACTCTGCTGTTCTTTATTGCTGTTTTCATTTCTGATACAGTTCTGCTTGTGTATCTTCCAACTGAACATACCGTGCTCCTGTTTAACTGTCTATTTATAGTCATAAGAGAAATAAACATATAAAATAAATGCATCTTGATGCATAGCTGTGCAGGAGTACAGATGTTTTATTAATGAAAATGAATCCAGCTTTTTGTAAGTCATGGCAGCAATATAACATATCATTGTTTGCTTCTCCGCTAGACGGTCCCTGCTGTTTTTACATAGAAATTCCTGTAATACTTAATGGACATCTGGAAGAATTCAGCCAATTAATCGAATTCACGCAGGAGCTAGGCTAATGGCTGTCTGAAAGGCAGATTACATTAAATCAAACTTGCAATATGAATGAAAGTACTTAATCATACATGCAACATTCATTAGACGCGGCACAGCAAGTGTTTTGATTACTTTAATGAAAGATCAGGTAAAGTGCATCAACTGAACAGATTGAAGAGACAGCATGCTTACAAATGTTTGATTATGTTGACTATCAACAGAAACGGTGCCAGTAATTTATAGCAAAACATATTTGGAGGAGGAGGAGGAGAAGGATGGAGCTGGTGAACTTGGGAGGGGAAGTGAAATTTGGGCCTTGCCTCCGAGCACTTTAATTAATAGTCAGGATAACAAGACTTTAATCAAATGTCACGAAAGAAACAAAACAGATGTATTTGGAGAATCCTGTATGGCAACTGCTAGGGATCACTTCTGTTTGCAGTACGTAGAGCCTGATGCTAGTTTTGAGTCCCCCGTGTTTTGTCTGACTTTGGAGTAAACAGCACTAAAACCTAACCAGAAAAAAATATTTTAAAACCAGTGAGATTCACGCTTGAATTTTTGGCCTGCAAAAGGTAATGATTTCAGCTTGGTGCTGCTCTTCCCCTTGGGCTCTGCTGGAGCCCCTCCGGCCGGCACTGCCCTCGCCCTCCGCAGCAGGTGCCAGCTCCCGGGCAGGAGAGCGCAGCTGAAGAGGAGCTTTGGCTGCTGCAATTTCCCTTTTCCGACCCCGCCAGCCAGCAGAGTGTTTTGTTGTTACTCCCTCGGGTTGCCCACGGGTGTTGACCCACCAAAGACGGGCAGAGTCCCCAGCCCGACGCACCTGCCGAGAGCCGGTGCCGCAGCCTGGCCCTTCCACAGCTGTGCGCACGATGGGCGTTCGCCGGGTCTCACCTGGGGTGACCGGCCTCGGAAGCCAGAGGTGCATTTTCAGAAAAGAGCAGCAGGTCTCTGGCCCAGTGCTGCCTTTCTCCTCCACATTCCCTGCAGAGGCGAATCGCCATTTCCTTTTGGGAGCTGTCACCCTCCTTGTTGCTGTTGTGAGATGAAGGCACTCAGCTCAGATGTGTTTTATTTCCTTGCAATGCAGTTTTCCTGCTTGCTTCCCTAGGGTGCTGCTCTGCCCAGCTGTGTGTAGCCAGCTCTCTCTGGTGGTTTGCTTTCCTCCTCCCATTCCCTGCCACTGTTTTTCCTTATCACCGTCCCCCCGTGCTCCACCTGCCCCTCTGCAGCTATTGCTGGCAATAAGCGCTCCTCATTCCTCAATAATTCCTGCCATTCCTTTGCAAAGGCAAGCGAATCTGCAATAGCATGCTTCTGGCATGAGCTACCTGCAGCTCAGGCAGGAGAGGGAACTGGGAATTCGGTGGGACCTGAAGAAAATGGAGGGAGAAGTAGACGGGGTACCATGGAGTGGGGATGTGAGAAAGGTCTTGGGCAACAGCCCGGGGGAATTGCCTGTTGCCCCTCCGAGCCAGAGGCATTTCATGGAAGAAGCTGGCCTTGACACAGGGGCATGAAAATATTTGGGGCAGGGGGGAAGGAGAAAAAAGAAAAAGGTAAATATTTTCCCAAGGACTCAGCTCCCTGCACCACATCCCTGCAGGATCAGACATGCTTCAGCACCAGCACAAGAGCAGGACGAAGTGTGGCCATAACAAAGTATTTGTGGCTGTGATTCACCTGGTCCTGCTCTCTGCTATCCAAAAGCCTCCTGGATTAAGACCTTTGGGGAAATTAAGCAAACCGCAGGTTTCCCTGTCCTGCCTGGACTTTACTGGAGGCAGACACGGAGCTTCCCAGCCCAGTGGGCTGCATAGGCACCACGCAGGAGCTTCATTTCTCCCATCCTCCTGCTGTCTCATCTTCTTGTCCCTTCGGTTGCGGCTCTCTTCACATGCAGAACTGTCCACCTATCTGCATGTACATCTGCACGCAGTGCAGCTGGGACTCAGCCTCGCTGAAAGCCACTACTGCTATTCATATAATTAATAACCATGACCTTTCTGTACAAGGAGTATCTTTTTCAGTGAATTACAACATATAATGATGTTTGTAGGAAACAAACTGCAGAGTATCTCATGCCGAAGGAAGCCAAAGCTTCCTATTTATGACATGGTGAGATCAATAAATAACTCCATTACAGGCAGATTTGTCATGGCAAATGGCTTCAGCCTGTGGGGTACAAGCTGAAATCCAGCTGAAATCTTTAATGAAATAACGAAAGTCATACTGGTCCCATCGAGGTTCTTGGATGACTTGAATGAGTTTGGGAATGTCGGGCTGCTCCCTGGAGAGGACCTGGTGTCCCTGCCAATACACGTGAGCACTCATTTGGCCCCTACACTGCTGCTCACTTACAGAGTAGGGACAGGAGCTGCGGCGTCACTGTCCTCCCAATATCAGCTTAGTGATGGCAGCATGGCAATACCAACAGCATCACTTCATTTACAAAAAAGAGGAAGGCTGAATGTTTTTGCAGTGTCTTAAAATCCCTTCAAATCCCTCTAGCCCAAGTACTTTCACAGAACAGTGTTTCCTACCTTCTCTTATGGAAAGCTTTTTGTTAATATTTGAGCAATGAAGAAAACACAAGAGCTGTTAGTATCATTTTCCCCTCATGGCAGATTGTCCTCAGGTAAAACAAAACACAATTAAGGTACCAGCAAGGTCAGTTATATTAGACAATCCATATCCTCATAATGCAGATATTTCCTTCAATGTCTGTCACCAGCACCAAATCCCCAACCGCAACAAGATAATTGGCAGCCTCCTTCTAGGGGAAAGACAAAATGGCTTGTGCTGCCACCAAAAACAGCCTGGATTTTGTTTGTGTAAGTGCTGGAGCCCGGGGGTGGTATCGCTCATCTAGCTATATTGCTGGAGATTCATGTATCAAGAACAGGCTTCTGAGGCGGCTTCTGTCTCCCTCCTATTTACCGCTTCTTTAATTACAAACCAGATGTCGGGGGAAGATTTAAAAGTCAACTTTATTTGAAATTCTGAAATATAAAAAACTCGACCACAACAATTTTTTTTGTGGTGGGGAGGGGAAACATGAAGGAGAGAAATGCTCTTTAATCCTTTGCTTATAGTTATTTTCTATTTTATTTTTAACTCTTATTTTTTAAAGTTGTGGTTATTTTTTTCTTTTATTAAGTGGCCAAAGGAATTTGTCTTTTTCTTTCTGCCCCCTCAGCCCCCAGAAGAGTTTTTAGGCTTTTCTCTGAGAACTAGACCTCACCCAAGACCTTCTCCCTCCCAGCCGGGATTGCTCTCATACATTCCTCTTGCTGTTTATGCCCCAAGACTGTTCAGAAACATCAAATGCAGCTGTCCGCTTGCTTAATGACATTTTATTTGGGGACCGTGTTACACCTCCTCTCCAGCGTCCGCGCAGGCTCCTGGGTGTCTGGCAAGGACTGGGGCGGAGGGGGCCGGGAGCTGCCGGTGCCGTGCTCTGGAGCCCCCCCGGCCGTCGGACAGAGCATCCTCCAGAAGGCACCAGGAGCTCTCTGCTCCAACGGGGGAAGGTATCCACAGGAACCCGAAGCCTGTCCTCGCTTTGGAAGGTCCCCAGGAGGTTGATCCAGCCATCACTGAGTCTGATTGCTGAATCTTGATAAGGCTTGACCGGGTCCCGCAGGTTTATTTTAGCAGCGGAGTTATGCACAAGGGTAGCAGTCCCTTCACACGAAACAGGAAGCTTCTGCCAAAAGGGAGGCCGAGCAGCACCATACCACTCGTTTCCCTACACACATCAGCATTCAGCTCCAACCAGAAAGGAAGGAATGGTGTGAGGATGCAAGAAGGAGGAACTCTGTCCTCTTATTCCCACCCCTGCCAGTTTCCCAGGAGTGCCCGTGTTCTTTCCGCTCAGCAGCTGCTGCATGTTTCCACCAGAAGTTTGATTTCCTATTTAGCATGGGATCAACTCTTTGCTTAATCGAAGGTCATCTACGGATGACTCTCATACATAAGCGGCAAATATGTTTTATCAAGTCTAACCTGATTTCATCAGACTGCAAGGAATGCAGCACATGGTCAGGAGCAATGACATCGTTCAGTTTCTTGCTTAGGAAAGCCTTCGCCTTAAATAAAGTTCCCCTGTTGTATGATGCACAGATGGGTTAAGTGCTTCACTCTCAGCTATGTGATGGGACTAATGTAATTTAACAAATCAGTGGGGGAAAAATCCAGCAAATTTCCACAGGATTTGTGTGTGTGTGTGCACAGTATTGTTTAATACCCTTATAAACTAGCTGAATTTTCCAATTATAAAATTTTGGGAAGGAGTAAAAGCTGAAATCAGGAAGACAAACCCATGTAACCATTCTGAAGGCTCAGAAGCTGCGAGAGCTGGGTGTAATGCCAGTCACCAGGGTTAAAGCCACTTGTGAATGCAAGGAGGGAAGGGAAATAATCTACAACGAGCCTGCAAGTGGGAGCCAGGGCACTGGGAACCAGCACTGGGGCAGGGGCAGCCTAGAGGAAACAGCACGGTTATTGAGACAAATGGGTCACAAGGTAGCTGCAACAATTTCAATCCCAAGATAATTTTGCCAGTGTTTTTGTTAAAGATCCGCAGGTGCTGGCACACGCTGCAGCAAGACCAACGATGGGATGATGGGTTCTGCAGTTCTGCATCCCACCTCAGAAACTGGTAATAAACGGGAGGCAGACGGAGAAGGCTATGAGAAGGCTGTGCAGTGAGCGCGGTGTGGAGCGTGGGGCAGACAAACTCTCACCAAATCACGGGGAAGAGCTGAGAAGAGCAGCAGAAGGAGCAGCGGGTGGGGAGGCGGATCAGTGGTTCCACCCCTGTGACTTCGGGAGGGGACACTCTAAGCCACCTCTCCCCAGTCTTCCCGTGACCTCTGGGCCATCTGAGACCCGGCGCACTGAGGGCCTGAGGAAACTCCCTGGCATAAGTCCAGCCTACAGCTTTTACTGGAAAAATGTTTGGAGTCTCAGCAAATGCCCTCAGTGCACCTGCTTTCCAACAGGCGCTTTGCCTCCCGCTGCTCCTACAGAGGAAAAGGCATTGTGGGGTTCCTCACCCCTCAGGACAGAAGCTGAGCTGGACATTCGTACCACTGACTGCTTCTGCAACGTGACAAAAGCAGATGCAGCATTAATGGGAACACTGCTTACAAGAAGAAACTTAAAGAACTATTTACGTATCGCTCGGAGGAACACTATAAAACAGTGGCTCTGTAACCAGAGATCCAGTTATTCAGTGAGAAATGTAGCTGGGAAGTCCCAGTTACAAAGATCAATCCAAGTATTAGGCAAAAATCATGCAGCCAGTCAGTGGAGTGACCTAATTGTGCTGCAGCATGGCTCATCGGACCCAGTTACAGCGGCTTGTACTAACAAAGGGTGATCTCTAGCCCGCAGAGTCCATAATCTAATCTAAAATTCAGTGCAACCATGAAAATGGAGGAAAATGGGAGAGGATAGTAATATAAAACATGATTAAAACTTTGCTAAGCAAATATAACCAGAGCACTTACACAGACAAGCGGTTGAGCATTCAGAGCAGGTGGGGCAAGTTCTGTTCCTGCACGAAGGCTTCAAATCTGTCTTGCCACATCTGGAAAGCCCCTCGACCTCAAGGTGCTGGTTCTCCCTTTCTCCTGGTGCCCTCTGAGTTCTCTCCTCTTCAGGGGACTCTCCCGTGGCCGGGGATGCGTGTCCCTGGCGTGGGATGGAGCGAGGCTTTAGCGTGGTCATGTCCAACAGCACGTCATCCTGTGTGCACGGCGGTCCCGGGGGGGCTCGCCCCGTCCTGCCGCCCGCACCGGGCTCGGCTGCAGGAGGGACCCGAGGGCAGGTGCCGGTAACGCGGGGCGGGGGCTGCTGACCACCCCCTGCCAGGGCACTTCGTTTCCCCACTCGAACCAACAGCGTTTCCAGAAAGGCGCTCAGCAGTTTCACAAACGCAACTACCGCCTTCGCTTCGGGGATGCTCAGGCTGCCGCTCGCCTCGGGGCATCCACCGACGGGCCGGGAATTGCACCGGGGCGGTGGGCGAGGGGATGTTTTGGCGCTTTTGCAGTTGGCTGCACCTCCACTGGGTCTCGCCCCCTCGGGGCACGGGAGGCTGCCCACGGGTGAAGCTGCCAGGGGACCGCAGCCGTCACACAGAGCAGGGATCGAACATTTCGAGCGGCAGAGGCTATCCTGCTCTTGCATTGGGAGCTCACCTTAATGCAAGATCTTTCTGGCTGCTTGTGGGAAAACCCTCGACGTGGCGGTGCTGAAAGACGGAGCAGGCTCCCCGCTCCCGCTCCCCGCCGAGGAACGACACGCAGGGCGGCCCGGCCCGGCCCAGCGGTGGATGAATTCTCCCGGCACCGGCATCTACGACGGATGCTGCTGCCGGCACCGGCCGAGGGGCTGCGGCCGTGCCCCGGCTCAGGCTCTCTCCCTCCTCGGACCCACGCGCCCGGTCCCCACAGCTCACTCGGTCCCGCGAGGCGCCGTTTCCCCCGGCCCCACGAGGCGCAGGGCGCTCCCGGGGACACCCCGCCCGTCCCCTCGGCTCGGCAGCGGGGAGCCCCGGCCCGGCCCGGCCGCCGCCGCCCCCCCGCCGCCAGCGCCGGCCCCAACTCCTCATTGGCCGCCGCCGCCGGGGGGAGGATGACGCCCGGGCGGGACCGGGCGCCGGGGGTATAAAGGCCGGGCGGGCCGGTGCCGCCGCGCTCCCGCCGCCCCGCCCCGCCATGCCGCGCGGCTTCCTCGTCAAGCGCAGCCGGCGCCCCGGCGGCTCCTACCGGGCGCGCCCGCGGGAGCGGCACCCGGACCGGGACCCGCCGCCGCCCCCGCCGCCCGCCGCCGCGGACGGCCCCGCCGCCAGGCAGGGGGCGGAGGACGAGGGGGAAGGCGAGGAGGAGGAGGGCGCCGCCGCCGCCGCTTGCCCCGCGACGTGGCCCGGCGGCAGCGGCCCCGGGCTCGCCCCGCCGGGAGGGCCTCCCGCCTGGGGGTCGGCGGGGCCCTGCAGCGCTGCGGGGCCGCGGGCAGCTCTCTTCGAGCGGTGCCTCAGCTCCCCCGCCTCCGCCGAGTCCTTCCCGCTGGCCGCCTCCTTCCCGCCCGCCGAGAAGCTGCTGCTGCAGCCCCGCACGCCGCTGCCCGCCCCGCCGCCGCCGCCGGTGTCCGCGCTGAAGCGGCCGCCGCGGGCCAAGGCGCCGGCCAAGAAGGCCAAGGCGACGCGGAAGCTGAGCTTCGCCGACGAGGTGACCACCTCGCCCGTGCTGGGGCTGCGCATCAAGGAGGAGGGGCCCGAGAACCGGCCGGGGCCGGGGCCGCCGGCGGGGCGCACGCCGCTGGGCGAGTTCATCTGCCAGCTGTGCAAGGAGCAGTACGCGGACCCGCTGGCGCTGGCCCAGCACCGCTGCTCCCGCATCGTGCGCGTCGAGTACCGCTGCCCCGAGTGCCACAAGATCTTCAGCTGCCCCGCCAACCTGGCCTCGCACCGCCGCTGGCACAAGCCGCGGCCCGGCCCCAGCGCCGACGGCTCCGCTGCGGCCGCCGCCGCCGCCCCGCCGGGCAAGGAGAACAGCCCCGAGCGGCGGCCCCGCGGCCCCGCCGCGCCCCCGCCCCAGCCGCCGCCGCAGCCGCCGCCGCCGCCGCCGCCCCGTCAGCACCGCGGCGGCGCGGACAGCGCCGGCGGCGCCCCGGCCCCCCCCGGCCCCGGCCCCGCTGCCGGCGGCGGCCCCGGCGGGGAGGCGTTCGCCTGCCCCTGCTGCCAGAAGCGGTTCCGACGGCAGGCCTACCTCCGCAAGCACCTGGGCACCCACGGGGCGGCCCGGCCCGCCGCCTACGGCCCGCCCGAGCGCGGGCAGCTCGCCTTCGCCTGCCACCTCTGCGGCGCCCGCTTCCCCTCGGCGGACATCAGGGACAAGCACCGGCTGTGGCACGCCGTGCGGGAGGAGCTGCTGCTGCCGCCGCCGGCCGGGCCCCCCGAGGGCGGCGCGGCGGGCGGCGAGCGGCAGGGCTTCCCCTGCAAGCACTGCCCCGCCACCTTCTTCAGCGCGCCCGGGCTGGCGCGGCACGCCAGCAAGTGCCACCCGCCCGAGAGCAGGCAGGTCCTGCTGCTCCAGGTGCCCGTCCGGCCGGGCTGCTAGGCCGGCGGCCGCCCGCGATGGGATTGCTCCGGGAGCCCGGGCGAGCCGAGCGAGTCCCGTCCACGCTGTAATTCCTATGGAAAGTCGCGGTACTCACGGCTAACGGAGGCGGAGGAGCCGCCCGCGGGGGCCCGGCCGGCGGGCAGCACCGCTCGCCCCCCCTTTCCCCCGCCCCCTCCCCCCCCCCCCCCCCGCTCCGCGCCCGCACGGCGGGAGGCTCAAGCGCCCCGCGCAACGGGCGCGCAGCGCTGCGCGGCCGCCGCCGCAGGCAGCCCGGGAGCTGGGCCCGGCCGGCATCTGCCGGGATGCGGGCGCTGCCGGGGGCGCGGCTGCCGGCCCACCGAGAGTACACCTTCCGTAGCTACTCTCGCGTAGAAGTACAGCTGTATATACGATATTTAAAGAGAGGAATTATTTTTTTCGTGAGAAAAGGAGCCTGATCTAGTGACCTGGTTTGAATAGCCTTAGCCCCCGAGCTTCAACTTTTAAGTTATTGTGAGGTGTTTCGTTTGCTGTACTCTGTACTGAGATAGTCGAGAAGGTAAATGTTCATATGAAGTCAATGTCAAGTCATATAATAGCTAGCAAATCGTATGGGAAATTAATCGTGCTGTCTGCTTAATTAAAATACAAGGTGTTGATCTTCTATAGCTCAGTACGCATCTCCCGCTCACCCCGTGCACCTGTACCCTCGCGGCCAGGCGGTGGGCAAACTGTGCCTCCCCGGCAGCTGCCCCTTCCCAAACCCGCTCCCTCGGCGGCACGGTGGCGCGGCACGGACGGCAGCGAGAGGCGCGGCTGGGTCTCTGGCCGGGCAGCGTGTGGCCCTGCCGTCGCCCCCCGGCCTCCTCGGGCGGCCTCCGAGCCCTCTGCCCCTGAGCCACGCTGCCGGCGCGAGCTCCTCCGGGTCTGCTGAGCAGCTGAAGTGAGAACACGGAACAGTCTTTCGGGGTGTTGCTAAAGCGCAGGCGACAGGCGACCTTCCTCCTCCCTGGCGAGACCTCTACCTTCAGCGGAGCAACCCGCAGTGTGCGTGTTCCCCGGCTTTAACGCTGGCCTGGCCAAACGCTTTGAAATACTGTCGAGTTTACCAGCTACTGACATTTCAGCCGGTATTTATTTATTTATTTATTTATTTATTTCCCCCCCCCCCCACGCACGAGTGCTTGTTTCTAAATGTGATAGCAGATGAGGCCAAAAATAAGGGCAAGCAAATTCAATAAAGGATTTAAACCAAACCTGACGCCTTTCTTGAATTCAGCAGGGCAAAGTGGGTCAGGTCAGCTGGTGATTTCCGAAGAACCGAATTGATCCCAGCTGTAGTCTTTGTTCTAACACTCTCTCTGAAAGGAGCATGCAAAATATTTCAATCTTTTGATTAGCATCCTCTAAAGCAATTATTTCTATAGTTTTATATTTTACTACACGTAACAAAAGACTCACATGTAACACGCCCAGAGGCTGAAGGCAAGTGATAAGTGCTTTATTTTAAATGTGCTTCACGGGCTTTCTCATTTTTACTTCCAGGACCTGGACAAATGAATTAATACCATATAAGCTAAAGCAGCCAAGATTTGCTGCCTGATGAAGGAGGCTAAACTTGCAGCTCACTCTTCTCAGGCCAGAAATGAAGCACATTATTTTAAGTTGCGCATTTTTCCATCATTTGTTGGTAATGGAGGCTTAAGTAAAAAAGTCCGTTTATACAATTAAATGAGTTCTCCCCTGGAGAAGGTCACTATGTTTTTTTAAATCATCAGTCTCCTTTCTCCATTTGTGCAAAGACGAAGGGCTCCAGACCACAGAAACCTGATGATTATTAACTGCTCCTACAATTAGCACTCGAACCACCAGCCTGCAGGAGGGAACGTCCTGCGCTCTGCGTTACCTGCGGGGCTGCGTGTGGTGGTGTATTCACTAGGGCCAGCGAAAAGTTTTCAGTACGGTGTTCTTGGGATGGGCTGGGGAAAAGCTCCTAAGAACTCGTGTGCAGTTTTTGATATGAAAACTAAGCTGTGTATCGCACTTAACTGCTCCACACGTAATAATGTTGTTCTATAAACTGGAGTAAGAATTTAATCACTGAGGTGAATGACTAATATACAAAAGGTGGTAAGAATAATTTTATTGTATTATTAAATAACATGTCTTCTCTTCAACCATTACAAATTTGTAGATACTACATGAATGACAATACATAATTTATCTTTTTATTGTTGCCCATATGATATATTTACACATGCAGTTAGTACCGATGTCATGCTACATTTTGTCAAGAGCATTTTGTTTGCCAGATTCAAAATGTGAGCATTTCATCTTCTGTAGGAAAATATCTCTGGGTGGAACATGTGTACTAATCTGCACTCACAGGGTTGGAATTGTCAGCATCTCAGGCGAGGCTCCTGGAAGATGTTCCCTTTTCTTCTCTAGTACACATCATCAGAGCAGTTAATTTCTATCAGGAAAGTGCCTTTTTTTTTATTTGTGTGTTTTTGTTTTTTTTTGTTTTTTTTTTTTTTTTTTGTTAAATATAAGAAACAAGAATATACATCTAGACCCAGCAGCCTGGTGGTAAAGGCTAAACCCCATGAAACCAGATGGCATTTACTATTGATAACACTTGGAAAAGCAAACATTATAAAAATATTTGGAAGCCAAGCATAAGTAGAATTTCAGCACAGTGATTTTTTTTTTCTGGCATAGATTATGGCATCACCTGCACAGTCATGAAAGGATATGCTGCTTTGTGAAGAAAGAGTCGGTGCTACGAGCAAGTTATTTTGTTTGGACTCTGTAATGCTTGAAAGGCCGTTGAACTGTTTTATTCTTAACATAAATAATCTGTACACATCCTGTGCATTAACATTGTGACATCTGACAAAGACTTTACAAATGCAACTTCAATTTAAAATTGTACATTCATTTTCAAATTGTACATATTTCTTTATTTGTTACAGAGAAAATTGCAATGGGGCACAATAAATATAGTGTAATCAAACTGCAGTCTCCAATTCCATATGTGACTCAAGATCAACCAGAGTTAAAAATGACTACCGTTAAGATATTGTAATCGCCCAGGAAGGTAAAAGGTGCAGAGGACAAACTGAACTGCAAAAAAAAAAAAAAAAAGAAAAAAAAAAGAAAAAAAAAGCAGCCTGGAGTTTGATAAAAAAATCCAAACCCTAAAATATTAAAGTAAAATTCCAGTGTCACTGTTTAAAATAAACATACACAACAGGGGTATGCAGGGGATGGGCACACACACATCAGGGATGTTATCCTCTAACGGAAAGCGGTGGGTGAGTCGCTGCGGGAGGGGTGGCGGATCGCTGCTCACCAGAAAGCTGCAGGCATCTCGCCACTTAGGACTTGTTGGCTGAGCCAGAGGAGCGGCGCAGTTTCATGGACATGCGGCTCTTGCTAGTCCGAGGAGACATTGGAGAGGCTAAGTCTGTTCCATCCACCTGTGCTGGTGCTGCTGCTGGAGTTTCTCCCGGCTGGGTCTCTGGGCAGAAGCCTGCAGAGGACAGCAAGAACCAGACGAGTCAGTGCTGCCTCCTGCACTGGCAGCACGGGATCTATTCACAAGGGGCAGTGAGGAATTTCAGTGCTGCTGCCACTCCCACAGCATCTCCTAGCCCTTTACCAGCTGTGGGTGATGGTACTGCATTTGGAGCTAGCAACTGCCACAAATCCACCTCTAGAGAAAAGACGATGCCAGAAGCCACTGAGCTACAGGGCTGCAGAACCCCCTCGCTCTTGGCAATTGAGGCAGCACTGAAGTGGGTGACGTTGTCCCGCTAACCGGGAGAACGAACACCTCCAGTTCCCTCGCAGGGACGGGGAGTCGTTATTCAAACCACAACCCAGAAGAATTCAGTCTTTAATGAGAACATGAAGGTTAACAGCTCGTTGCGCATGAAGGGAGCTCTAGGGATGCAGCTGAAGAGGTGGAGTGAATCGGGGGCCAACTGGGAGAGCAAAACATCTTCTCCCATCCCAACTTCAAAAGGCAAAATTCCTACAGGGCCCACAAGGCAGAAGCTTGAACAGATCATAGTAACTGAATGCACTATACATTCACGTTTCTTTGTAAAAGGAACAAGATGAATTTGAGATAACGGTACAGAGTTCAGTAGCCCAAGCGCCCAGAGCTTCGCTCCAGTGGGCCCCGAGTCCTCACTGCAAGGGGACAAGGCTCTTCCTTACAAGCAGCCCGTCTCCAAATCTTCTTCCATAGAGATACAAAAGGAGAAAATTACGTTCTCCTTTCCATGTACAGAAAATTAGCACTATGAACTCACATGCACAAAACTGAACTGCATTTTAATTAGCCATTTACAGAGAGTGACAGCCTGATTGAACTCAACTACCTCAGTTGCCACTGATCGCTGCTGACCCGTGTAAATTACGGACAGAAGCTTAGTCCTGCAGAAGTCAATGGGGAAACCCCTGCTGGCTTCAGTAAGCCAGAAATCACTTGCTATTTCTTCCACATCATGGTATTACTGGTAATTCTTTAAAATAATAATGCAATAATCAGAACTGAAGATCTCTCTCCCTCGGTATATATTTCATATATAAGGGGTGCAAAACCCATTCAAAACTGATCATGATTTATTTTAAAAGACTCTTCTAAAACCTAATGAGGTCATCAGGTAAGAAATCTAAGACTACGTTTAAAACATATTGTGATAAATCCCTGTGATTTAGCGACCTGGCTGTCCTCCTTGCCTGGTCCATCACCTGCCTGCTCCAGAGGGATGGCACGGTACTTTCTATCTTTTTCAAACTGACACGACCCATCGAAGTGACAGGGAGGAGAAAGGGCTGTTATTTGTTCCCCAGCTGGTGACAGTAATTCTGTTCATGAACTAGGTACTTCATTGCCAAACAATCTGGAAAAGCATGATAATGCCTGACTCACTGTGCCTTATAGAAAAAGGCAGGCAGGGAAACATGCACTCTCATTTTCTGAAATTCTATCTTGTTCTAATTTTACAAGGAATTAAAGCATTTCAAATGGTGGAAATTAGAGAACAGAAAATAACCGTTGTTGTTTTGCACAGCATACCATTCACAGCTAGCGTGAAAGACCTTCCGTTTCAAGCCTTTGCCCTTTACCTTGATGTGGCCAATGTTTTCTAGTGGAGGTTTTGGAAGGAGAAGAAATATCACAGCATTTCTTTCTTTGTTGAGAATGAAGAAGTGATGAGGAAGGAGGAGTGGAAAGAAGTGAGGAAGGGGAAGGAGAAAAGATAAAAGATAACAGGTGTGAGACATGAGACACGAACCGCAGAGATTGAAGGGTATTAACAGATGAGCACAGAAAACGGAATTTCGAATTTCTTTATGCAATTGCTGCTCATGCTACAGGTTAAAGAGAGTGATGAGTTAGTTATGTGCAATGAAGCAACAGCTCTGAAATCCGGCATCATACTTACCAACTAAGCATTACAAGAAAAAAAAGGAAGAGAAAGAGAAAGAAAAGAATTCTATAACATTATCCAGATCCAGCAACCTTATTCATAGCAACTGAGATACATCCTAAACATTGTCTGAAGTGCTTGCTTAAAGTCTGTGAAAACAGTTAAATACTCACACACATACACAAAATTGAGAAGGAAAAACAAATGGCAATTTGTGATATATGGCTTCTGCTCCCCAGCTGTTGCACAGCATTAAGTATGCTAAAATTATAGCCAGTCTCAACATGAGACTCCTGAAATCACGCAAGCAAGAAAACCCAGAGTATTTAAGCTAGTTAGTCTGCATCGAAGGGTCAAACCCTAGCGTGAAATTTTATCATGGGTGGATAAAGAAAACCTTACAACCCCTCGTTATTACAATTAAGGTATTATTCCGGTCGTATCTTAATTTTTTCTTTTCTAATTCCTGCAGACAGAAGCACAGATTCATATATAATCCCATTTTTTTTAAGAAACTGACTTAGAGCTATTGAAGAACAGAAGTCATATAAAGTGATTTTCACATCTGAACATATCACATCAGAAGAGTGAAGAATAATGGCACTTAAAATATATTTAAAGTCTGACAGCAATCAACAGACTAATTAGTAACTAAATTTATTTGGATTTTAGTTAAGCATATCTATCTATATATATATACACACATACGCACATACACACGTAGATATTAAATGTGGTATATAGAAATTTTGTAGGTTTTGTTTCTCCTTCACAGTTTTAAAATCTTCAGTGTAAAATGTTATTAACGTTATCTCTCTATGCAATGAAATACTTAGTTATCCAAAATATAAAAACAGGGTTATATGTGAAAGCTTTATTGAAAATTGACCTAGAACCAGAAAGTTCTATAAAATAAACAAAATAGATATGTTAGAATTTTCAAGAGGTTGAAAAATGTCATGAAGTGATCCATATTTTTCATCTCTTAGGCTTGGCAAGTGACAAATACCATAGCCTGATGAGCTATGATATTTTAGGGCCATAATGTAAAGACGTTTCAATTGCTTCTGAACAAGGAGGTGGATCAACAAAGTTGAAACGCGACATTTTCACACTCCATTTGAAAATTTTAGGGTCTTCTAGTAGTACTATGTTGGTTATTTGACTCAGAAATTAACTATTTAAATGTAAGATAGAATCCTAACTACACACAGACATGAGTTAGAAGCGAGGTGAGGTGAAGGAATATGGAGGTATCCTAACACATGTTGCCATGACTCATCTCTCTTGCCAGTTCTGACTTTCAAAGAGGTGAAAAATTCACCAAGCAGAAGCCTGACAGGGTGCTGACGTTAGGACAGGGTGCTGCATGGTAAGGCTACTCAGTGCGTCTGGCTTTATCACACCTTGTTGTTTGGATCAAGAGTTTCCTGAGTGCCATCTCTGAGAATGACCACAGAGGAAAATATCATTTGTGCATGCTGGTAAATTTTGACGGTCTTTTAAGACACTTCAGCACCCCTAATCTGACCCCCGAGCAAGAGGGCAGTAATTTTTTGTACAGCTTATACCCTTCACCACTCTTACAAATTCCAGTCCAAATCTGGCCAAATCCAGGGTCAATTAAGTCTCTCACTAATCCTGGGAAGAGGAAAGGAAGCACGAAGCAGATGCAGAGAGAAAGATTGCAAAAGCAGCTGCAAAGGAAGATGAGAAAGATGAGGAGGAGATGGTCTAAAGACCTGGGAAACTGGAACTGGGTAGAAGAGAAAGAACCAAGAGCCAGACATAAGAAAGAACCCAGAAAAAAATATTAAGTTTATGGCCAAAGAGCGGCAGAGCCCATGTCCAGTGCAGAATGCTCTTCAGAACCTGGCTGAAAACATGAGTGTTGGGTAAACCTATTCCTCTCTGTCAACTAGTACCTGAAACCCACTGGCAAAATTCCCAGTTCTTCCACTAGTGGAGATTCAGGCAGAGGCAAGACAGTTTACCATTACTACCAATTCTTGCCCTATCTCAGCCTGCAGGAGGTGGTGGTTGCAGTTTTGCTTCTGAATTATGTGGCTGTTACAGAATTTCTCTTTTGCTCTATGCCTTAA